GCAATCCTCTCGCTTCCGCCTCCCAAATTGCTGGGATTAGAGGCGTGAGCCACCAACCCCGGTTGGATTTTATTCTAAATATGGGAAGCCAGGAGTAATTTACAAGCGCAGGATTATTTTATAAAGTCTAGCTACCCTGTGGGAAATGAATTGGAGGTGAGAAAACCGGAAGCTTGTGGCTTCAAGAAAGAGAGAAGGATTTACGGAGCAAGCTTCACGAGCCAAGCTGTTCTAAATGCTGAGGACGAACAAACCAGAGTTCCTGCCTTCATGGGGCTCACAGAACAGTGCGCAGAAGTGAGAAACAGCATGAATGATGGCTCTCAGGGCTTAGCTGCAAGAGCTGATAAGGACCTTGGCGACTGCCTAGTCCAAATGCCCTCGCTGAAGCAAGAGGAAATTTATACTGCACTAGGTAAAGCTACGTGAGTGGAATGCTCAGCAACTCTCAGCAAAAAAAAAAAAACAAAGCCATTTCCCCTCCCGTTCGCTCCGCCACCCCCAGCTGAACATCAGCCGGAGCCCGCTCCGCCCTCGCTCGGATTCCACTGCGCCTGCGCCGCGGACGAACCGCGCTCCCCCCCGCCCCCGCGGGGCTGGGTTTAGGTTCGCCGGAACTCCGCGCCCGAGCCTTCTGCTTCCGGGTCGGAGCCATGGCGGTGGCAAATTCAAGCCCTGTCAACCCCGTGGTGTTCTTTGATGTCAGCATTGGCGGTCAGGTGAGATCCAGGCGGCCACCCGGACCTGCACCGAAGGGAAACTGCACGGGGCTAGGCAGTCACTAACCCAGAAAGCGGACTCGGGAAGCCAGAAAGTGAAATTGTAGCAGAATCTTCCCACCTGCCGGGCGGGGGGTTAGGAGGTGGAGTCTTGCCCATCCTAGCGCCCCGCTGCTGGAGAGACTGGGCGGAAGGAAAGGATAGGCCAGGGAGGTGGAGGTGGGAGATGCCGAGCGGCGTGGATGGTGGGTCAGCCCGTCATGCTCCCTGCTCCGTGAGGTGGTCGCGGTCTTGGATTGGGTCTTCTGACCGTCTCCCGCCGATTGCAGGAAGTTGGCCGCATGAAGATCGAGCTCTTTGCAGACGTTGTGCCTAAGACGGCCGAAAACTTTAGGTAAGGAAAGATGCTCCAGTGTTGCCGAATTAGTCGAGCCAGAAGCCGAACCCCAGTCAGTCTCTTGAATCATCTATCTGCTTCTGCCCGTCCATTCACTGTCCTTGGGACCTGATATCTCTGAGTATTGCTCAGTCTGAACCATTACCGTTTTGACTGTTCCCGTGTCAATTTGTATTGTTAGTCTGTATGCCATCTTGGCAGACTGGTTGGTGGCTTGCAGACTCCAGTGTCTGCAGTCTCCCCTCCTTAGTGGCACTCACAGCAGTGACGTTATAGTAATTGAATGGTTCACTCTTTTTCCTTTCAGGCAGTTCTGCACCGGAGAATTCAGGTCAGTGTCAGACATGTTTGACTTTGCTTGCTTTTTTTTTTTTTTTTGAGTTGGAGTCTCATTCTGTCGCCCACGCTGGAGTGCAGTGGCATGCTCAGGGCCACCGCAGCCTCGACCTGCTGTGTGCGGGCGATCCTTCCACCTCAGCCTTCCCAGTAGCTGGGACCACAGGCCTGCACCACCACGCCCAACTAGTTTGGGGATTTATTGTAGAGATGAGGTCTCGCCAAGTTGCCCATGCTGGTCTCGAATTTGTAGGCTCAGCCTCCTAAAGTGCTGGGATTATAGGCATGAGCCGCCACACCCGACCCTCTTTGCTTGCTCTTAAGTGGTGTCCTGGGGATGCAATGAGGGTATTGGGGAACCAGCGGCAGGCCTTGAGTGATTGCTGGTGACGGTGATACAAAGGGTCTGTTCTTAGTTCACTTGTCTTCTTTATCTCCCTTTTCTCAAGGAGCTTTAGGAGAGTCCCTTTGGTGCCACTGTTGTAAACCATGATTACCCGTCATCATTCCGAGTCTTTTTTGTTTGTTTGTTTACAGAAAAGATGGGGTTCCAATCGGATACAAAGGGAGCACCTTCCACAGGTAAGGCTTTTGGCAAGCTGTCCTGGGAGCTTTCAGAAATACTTCCTTGGGGATTAGACTCATTAGAGGAAAATAAAATCACAGGCTTATTCTGAGATCTTGAGCAAAAATGTTTTTGTGGACTCACAACTGTCTTGAATATTTATTAAATGCTCTAACTCTGCTTATACTATTCTTTTCTATTTAGAGCAGGAATCTCACTCTTTCACCCAGGCTAGATTGCAGTGGCACACTCACTGCCACTGCAGCCTCAACTTGCTGGGCTCAGGTGGTTCTGCTGCCTCAGCCTTCCAAGTAGCTGGAACCACAGGCATGCATGACCACGCCCAGCTACTTTTTTGTTTTATTGTGGTGATGAGGTCTCGCTGAGTTTTCCAGGCTATTCTCAAACCCCTGGCTCAGGCAATCCTCTCACCTTGCCCTCCCAAAGTGTTGGGATTACAGGTGTGAGCTACCACACCTGGCCTATACTATTCTTTTATGTATTTAAAACAGAAAGAAATTACCCATCATTTCAGTATCCTGTCTTTTTCATGCCCTTGTTTGTGTGAATGCAGATTTTAAAAAAATACGGTTGTCCTTAAGTGCATATAGTATATTCTACTGGTTATAGTTCCTAAAGTGACCGTATGTGATTTTGCTGGGATGATCATATTTCTGTGGATGTTAGAAGCAGAGTACAGAAGCTGGGCTTGGTGGCTCAGCCTGTAATCCTGCACCTTTGGGAGGCTGAGGTGAGTGGATTGCCTGAGCCCGCAGGTTCAGCTTGGCGAGACCTCATCTCTGCAATAAATCAAAAATGAACCGGGCGTGGTAGCATTCACTTGTAGTTCCAGCTACTTGAAAGGCTGAGGCGGAAGGATCGCCGGAGCCTCGCAGGTCGAGGCTGCGGTGCCTGGGAGCGGCCACTGCACTCCAGTCTGGGTGACAGAGTGAGACTCCAACTCAAAAAAAAAAAAAGAAGTAGAGTACAGAGATACTCAGATAGCCTCATTTCCATATAGAATCTTCCTCAGTGCCTCACTGGTTAATAACAATGTTAGCACATAATTAAGTTGGGAGTTCTAGAGCTATGGTCTCTAATCCTCAATCACATTCCTGTGAGGTGGTATGTGTTAATATCTACATTATACAGAGGAGGAAACAGAGGTTAAGAAAGGTTAAGGACTCTGCCAAGATTTATTACCCGTGGGGTAATAGCTACCAGTTATTGAACCCTTACTGTGTAGCAATCCATTTCACATATATTCTATGTAGTTCTTTTTCCTAGAATTTACATCAAACCCTTGACCTGCCTTTTGCTTTGGTGAATACAGGGCCTGACAATTAAGTTCATGAACTCATCTTAGAAAAAGTGCTACGTACCGCATTGCTGAATATCACTACAGTCACCTTCGAAGTACTCCCCTTGGCAAACTATGCATCCACACCCAGTGCCTAGTCCACCTGCCAAAGTAGTTTTAGTTTTGGAACTCATTTCTGGAATGGCCATCAGAGAGCTGTGGTTGCGAGAATGCCAGAGTTTGAATTAAAGCAACCAACAAACATTGCATTTCTTTTTAAAATTGGCAAGAGTGGCAGTGAAATCAGGGACCTGCTAGTCCAAGTTTATGGGGATAATGCCATGAAAAAAATGACAGTGTACAAATGGATTGAATGTTTTTCTGAGGGGACAGAAAGCATCACTGATGAGAGGTCAGGATGGCCAGTAACGAGCAGAACTGATGAAAACATTGAAAAAAATTTGTCGATTTGTGTGTCAGAATTGTCAGCTGACTGTGAGAAGCATAGCAGGCCAAATAAACATCGATAGAGAAACAGGAAAATTTGAATTAGAGTCTCACCCTGTCGTCCAGGCTGAAGTGCAGTGGCACACTCACAGCCACCCCCGTGTTGACCTGCTGGGCTCCACTGATCCTTCTGCCTCAGTCTTCCACGTAGCTGGAACTATAGGCACCCACTACCACACCCAGCTAATTTTTTTGATTTACTGTAGAGATAAGGTCTTGTCAAGTTGCCCGGGCTGGTCTCGAACCTGCGGGCTCAGGCAATCCACTTGCCTTGGCCTCCCAAATACTGGGATTACAGACTAAGCCACTGAGCCCAGCCTAGGAAAATCTTAACTGAAAATCTTGGCATGAGAAAGGTGTGTGCAAAAATGGTCCTGAAGGAGCTCTTGTACCATGGCAATGCACCGGCTCACACGGCACTGTCTATAAAGGAGTTTTTAGCCAGTAAACAAATAACTGTATTGGAACACCCTCCCTACTCACCTGATCTGGCCCCTGGTGTTTTTTTTCTTTACTCAAAGATAAAGGAAATACTGAAAGGAAGACATTTTATGGCATTCAGGACATTAAGTGTAATATAACAACAGCTCTGATAACCATTCCAGAAAAAGAGTTCCAAAATTCCTTCGATGGGTAGACCAGGCACTGGTGTTGGTGCATAGCTTTCTAAGGGGAGTACTTTAAAGGTGATAGTGGTGATGTTCAGCAGTGAGGTGTGTAGCACTTTTTCTAGCATGAGCTCGCAAACGTAGTTGTCAGCCCTTGTATTTTGGTAATTATTCCTGTAGGGTTTCAGCCCCTTCTTTGTATAACTGTTCAGGTACCAGATCATGCACTTTGATTAACTCTAAGATGCCCTTATTTATAATTAAAATCCTTTTTAAATGATCCTTTCAGCCCAGTCATTGCAGGGAAGAATAATCATTTTGTAAGCCAAAGTGATAAAAAGTGTATTTTGAAATCAACGTTAAGCTAATACATTGACTAAGTCCTTGTTTTTCTAAACCATAGAATCTTCTCTCAGAATTCTTTGTTCTCTGTTTCAGGGTCATAAAGGATTTCATGATTCAGGGTGGAGATTTTGTTAACGTAAGTACAGTTCCTTTCCCATTAGGGAAGTATAGACTTAGTTTTTGTTGTTATTGCTGCTGTTGTTTCTGCTGCAGGGATCCAGTCTTCAGGCTTAAGATAGCCAAGTTTGATGTGGGGAGCAGGCAGGGAGGATCATGATGGGGAGGTCCTTTAGAGTTGCTGACTGCTACTGACTATAAATAACAGACGTTAGTACTTTGAGTCATTATTTTCCATGGTCCAAACCTCAGCATTTTTGAGCCAGGAACTGGAATTTTCTAGCATACCTATAGAGAATCGATGACAGACCAAAACTAATTAGTTACATGAAACATAGTTAGAAATCATCAACTGCAATTTGTTTTTTCTGAATGGCCGTGAGTCTCTTTCCAGAGAGCTGAATGCTTATGTCTCATTCTTTGTTTCACTTATGATGTCACAGTGTCTGGAAAGCTCAGTTTTTAATCAGAAATTGATTAGTGAGCAAAGAATCAGAGCAAGAGAAATGAATCGTTCTGGAGGGATGTTTGCTCTATTCATTGAGAGAACTCAGTGGAATAGTTCTTTACTACTAGCCATGATTTTCTTGTGAGTAGACTGTGTCCCTTCTATCAAGCCTTCCTCCCCACTACCTCCCCTCCCCAATCTTGGAGGGAACTAGATAAACCACATTTTTTTCTGTCTTAAACTTACTTTTGTTTTTGCCCACCCACTTCTTAGATCTGGGAGACGTTTGTATTTCTTTAGTTTTGACTTTCATGAACTTTTCAGATCTCTTCTATGCTACATAGGGTTGAAAAGTAGCAGGTTTGCCGGGTGCACTGGCCATGCTTGTAATCTCAGCACTTTGGGAGGCTGAGGCAAGAGGATTGCCTGAGCCCGGGGGTTTGAGACCAACCTGGGCAACTTGGTGAGACCTTGTCTCTACAATAAATAAAAAAAATTAGCCAGGTGTGGTGGTGCATGTCTGTGATTCCAGCTACTTGGAAGGCTGAGGTGGAAGGATCACCTGAGCCCAGGAGGTCGAGGCTGCAATGACCACGAGTGTGCCACTGCATTCTAGCCTGGGTGACAGTGAGACTCTGACTCAAATATATATATATGTATGTATGTATGTATGTATGCTTTGTTTTATCTGTATGGTGGTGTAAAACTGGGAAATTTCACCAAAAAAATCCTAGAATTTTGTTTTATCTTTAAACAATGGAAAAATAAGGGTACATTAGGCCAACATTAACAATTGGTAGGAATCAAGTAACTGGTCCCTTTAGATCAAGGTGCACAATTCCCCACCACCTGCTTCCCTTATTTATGTCATCTGCCCCTTTAGGCATTTAAATTTGTAACCCCAGCCACAGCTGATGTTAGTGGGGCTTGTATGCTAGTAAGAAGGGTTGAGCAACTGCCTTTTTTTCCCTAGGCTCCCTTGTGTTGCCAACTCCCTTGTGTGAGAGGACCAACTTCTGACTGGTCTTTGCCCCAGGCACATCTGATCATTTGTTGATAGCTCCAGGACTAGACAATAGTTGCTCAGTCTGAAGTCTGAGTATCAAAAGCAATTGCTTAGAGCCTCCCTTTAGGGAAGACAAAATAGATAGAACAAGAACCAGAGGAAGGATTTGAGACCTTCCCAATTTGGACCCAGAATATTTGTTTGTTTTAAGAGTATTTATTGTTTTGTTGTAAAAGAAAACTGCAAAGAAGAAAATAAATCACTGAATAAGTCACCCTCAATCTCACCTCTTAAGGTCTGTACTACTGGCATTTTGGTGTACAGCTGCCAGTCTTATCTGAGCAGGCATATGTGTGTTGATATAAATTTTAGTAGACTTAGAATCATACATATGTTTTAAGTTTTTTTGTACTTAATAATCTGCATTTCCAGCTGGGTGCAGTGGCTCACACCTGTGCTCCCAGCACTTTGGGAGGCAGAGAAGAGAGGATTGTCTGAGTCCAGAGGTTTGAGACTAGCCTGGACAAGTTGACAAGACCTTGTCTCTACAATAAATCAGAAAACTAGTCAGGCATAGTGACGTGAGCTTATAGTTCCAGCTACTTGGAAGACTGAGGCAGGATAGCCAAGGTCCAGCAGGTTGAGGCTGCGGGGCCATTAGTGTGCCACTGCACTCCAGCATGGGCAGCAGAGTGAGACTCAGGCTCAAGAAAAGAGAAATTATCTACATTTCCTTGTCATTAAGTCTTCTACCTAATATTCCACTATAATAGACAATTAGGTTGTTTGATCAGTTCACTATAGTTGAAGATTTAAGTGGCTTTCTGTAGTTTGGTCTAAATAATTTGTTATTTTCCCTATGGTTCCTGGATAGTGTGATTACAGAGAATGACATGGTAACTGATTCTTCCCTAGTTCATTGGGAAATTGGAAATGAACTTGATTTCTCTCTTCCTTCCGTATATATGTGGCATTAGTTAGTGATATAGTCACTTATTTGATTATTTATATAGTGCTATATTATTTGCACAGTGCTTTTCTTAGTCAGTATCTTACTGAATCTTCATGGCAACTACAAAGAGTATGTGATTCCATCCTCACTTGATAGGTGAGGAAATTGAGGCTCAGACATAGTAAGTTATTTTCCAGCTCATCAGATAGATCTGGAACTTAAATCCATATCTTTCCAATATACACACTTGATTTTATTTGATAATTTTTAGCCAAATAATGGTTTGTACTTGGACAGGTTTTTTTTTTTTTTTCTTCTCTGGCGTATATGAATCCCCTCTGGTATCTTTGGCCCAAAAAGGGACCCTTGATTCTACACTGGATCAGTGTTTTTCCTTTCTACCTTGCATCTTTTCCTTGTAGCATGCACTCTTTTTTACTAACTGGCTCAGGGAGATTGATCTTTTTGGCGTCTTTCCATACTACCTTTAAACCTCAGGGACTCTATTTAAGGTACTGTAATTATGACCTTGGTCAAGTTGCTTTATTGCCCAGACTTCAGTTTGCTCACTTGAAAAATGGGGAAGATGATAATGCTTACTCCATAGGGTTGATGGAAGAGCAAAGAGATAACTGCAAATAAAGCTAGTTTAAGCAGAAACTGGGAATTTATGATAAGGTGGATATTTCATGGAACCAAAGGAAGAAATAGAACTAGGAACTGAAAAGACACATAGAACCAAGGGAGTTCTTTACCTGTTGTTTCTCTAGTGCTCCCTACACATCTGTGCTACATTCTCTTTCTGTTCTCTAGCCCACTTTGCTGACAATAGTCACCTCCAGCTAACAGGTTCACATGATACAAATTCAACCTCAAAGACAGCATCTATCCAAATTCCACATTCCCAGAAAAGGAACTCTTATTTGGCCCAGTATGAGTTAGGCATCCTTGCCTGGATCAGTCACCTTTGGCCAGGAGAGTGGTATCATGTTGGATAGACCAAACTACGCAGAGCTTACCCACCCTCACAGTTAGTTTGGGAGAGTGGAGTGGTAGTCACTTAAGTGCGTACTTTTTTTTTTTTTTGAGTTGGAGTCTCACTGTCACCCAGGCTGGAGTGCAGTGGCACTCTCACGGCCACTGTAGCCTTAACCTGAACCTGTGGGCTTCTACCTCAGCCTTCCAAGTAGCTGGAACCACAGGCGAGTGCCACCGTGCCTGGCTAATTTTTTAAAATTTATTTTAGAGACGAAGCCTCACCAAGTTGCCTGGGTTGGGAAGAGGGTACTTTTATGTGACTGCAAGAATGAGAATCTTTGGAAATGGCAAGGATTCTTCAGGTGATCACTGTGCTGCTGTTGTTCCCCAACTTGCCTGTATCTTAATCCATCTTTCTAGACTCCTGCTGTGACCTGTCTTATCCAGTCTGTGGATGCCCTTGGTGGGGTTTTGTGGGCTGCAAGTTCCTTGCATGAGGCCTCCTTTGATAGCAAGTTAGGGTCAAATAGGTGTGACTTCCAAGGTAACCAACACAAGTAAGAGTAGACTTTGAAGAAGCTAGGCTTAAGGTGCTAAAACATTGTTCCTCTGGTTTTTAGGGGGCCCAGCACTCTGAGTTTCTAACACTTCCCTTTTCTCTGCTCAGGGAGATGGTACTGGGGTCGCCAGTATTTACCGGGGACCATTTGCGGATGAAAATTTTAAACTTAGACACTCAGCTCCAGGCTTACTTTCCATGGTAAGTAGGTCCAGTCAAGGTTTTGGATTGCATTACAGCCAGCTGGTTTCTGGCCCCCCCTTGAGGCCCAGTGCTATCTCCTGGGCTAAAAGCAAATGTTTTCTTTTAGCTTGGACCAGGACTCACCTCTGCTCTTTTCCTCAGTCTGGTTTGATTTTGTTGGGTAGGGCCCATTAGCAGGCTGGGGAACTAAATTTGAGCTCTGCTGTGCGCTTTCTCACCTTTGTTTAGCCATGATGGATGGTGGGGCACTCAGCCTTACTGCTCAGAATGCAGCTTGTGCTTTCAGGGCATGCTTGCCCGCTTGTCACACCATCATACCCAATCACCCACACTGCCTCCTGGCTGCTCTCCCTCTTCTGCTTACTCACCTCTTCTTTTTTTTTTTTTTTTTTGAGTTGGGAGTCTCACTCTGCTGCCCAGGCTGGAGTGCAGTGGCACACTCATGGCCACTGCAGCCTCCACCTGCTGGGCTCAGGCAATCCCTCTGCCTCAGCCTTCCAAGGGCTGGAACTACAGGCGCACTACCACTCCTGGCTGATTTTTTGGATTGATTGTAGAGACGAGGTCTCACCATGTTGCTCAGGCTGGTCTCGAACCCCTGAGCTTAGGTAATCTTCTCACCTCCACCTCCCAAAGTGCTGGGATTATAGGCTTGAGTCACTGCACCTGGCTGCACTCACCTCTTCTTGCTCACCATTCCTGCTTCTATATCCTGGCACCCCTTTTCCCACTTAGAACTCCATCATGCCCTCTCTTTCCCTAGACCCCTGCCTTCCTCACATGCCCTCATCTTCCCCACCTCTGCTCACCCTCCTTGCTCACTTCCCCTTATGCACCCTTCACTCCTTTTCCATCCTCCTCTTCCTTTTCTCTCACTCCTCACCCTCATCTCACTCCATCAGTGCCCCAACTCTCACTTTCCAGCCCTGATATATACATGCACATTCTCTGTCCAGCTTGCCCACTCTTCTATTCATATACTCAGGCATTCGACAAGTAGACATTTGTTCACGGCCACTCTGGTTCAGGCCTCATAGTAAGGCATCAGATGCAGACACGATCCTGCCCTGGTGACACTTAATGTCTAACAGGGGAAACACACATGCAAAACAGCCAATCCAGTGTTGTATAATGTGTGCCATCAGTGTTTTAAGGCAAGGGCACCTCAGTGTATATGAAAGGACTGTGAGGGCCCAGAGGAATAAGGGTATGTTGCTAGAGGCTGGAGAAGCTTTCACAGAAGCGGAGGCATTTGGGTTCTTAAAGGAATGCTATATCAGATGACATTGGAAGAAAGAGCACTTCAAGTCTAGTCAACAGGCTATGCAAAGATCTGCAACCATGAAATAGCAGGGTGGCACATTCAGGGAACAGAGTGTGACTGAGATGATGAGAACAGAGAATATGTATGAGGAGGGAATGGCCAGTAGACACAGTGGGAGAGGCTGGTGGGCCTAGCTCCTGAGGGCTTTAAATGCCAGAATAAGGGTGAAGTGTGTGGACTTTTTTTTTTTTTTTGAGTTGGAGTCTTACTCTGTCGCCCAGACTGGAGTGCAGTGGCCGCTTCTGGCCACCGCAGCCTCGACCTGCTGGGCTCTGGTGATCCTTCCGCCTCAACCTTCCAAGTAGCTGGAACTACAGGCTTGCGCTACCACATAATTTTTTGATTTATTGTAGAGACGAGGTCTCGCCAAGTTGCCAAGGTGGGTCTCGAACCCGCAGGCTCAGGCAATCCACTCACCTCAGCCTCCCAAAGCACGAGATAACAGGCTGAGCCACCGAGCCCGGCTGTGTGTGGACTTTCACAGGATGTGGACAGCCATACTTCACTTTTTCAAACAGGGTTGATCAGTGTTGTATTTTAGAATGAAGACCCTGGTTGTGTGCCATGAGTAGCAGATAGAGAGGCTGGGGCAGGGAAGCCATTTAGGAGGCTGCAGTAGTAATTGGGCAAGTCTAGCAAGCCCTCTTGGGAAAGCCAGACTGCAGGTAAAGGGTGCAGAAGCAGCTTAGGTGGGCTATTATCTTCAACATGGGGATTAGAACCCTTCTATGTGCATGCAACAGTGTTATCATCCGTGGAGAAGTCAGAAAAAAGGAAGGAGGTCCTGTTCTCTGACCCCTTCGGGCTAGCACTAGCTAACTTGTGCTGTCTGTCACATATTTTGTAGCACAGTTGATTTAACCTTCATCCATGAAATCATGAGTTCTTCAAGGGCAGATCTCGTTGATCTCCAGGCCTTACTACCTGACAGGGAAAGCCTGCTGAGCAAATATTATGAGTGACTGAATAATTATCAGAATAAGACTGGTTATGGTGGCTCACGCAGAGCCAACACTTTGGGAGGCTGAGGCAGGAGGATCTCTTGAGCCCAGGAGTTCGAGATCAGCCTGGGCAACATAGTGAGACCCTGTCTCTAGAAAAAAATAAACAAAAAAACCCCAAAAAAACTAGACAGGCATGGTGGTGCATGTCTAGTCCCAGCTACTGGGGAGGCTGAGGTGAGAGGATCACTTGAGCCCAGGAGGTCAAGGCTGCAGTGAGCCACGATTGTGCCATTGCATTCCAGCCTGAGTGACAGAGTGAGACCTCGTCTCTGAGGAAAAAAAAACAAAGAAAAAAATAATAATCAGAATAATAGCTAACATTTGTTGAACACTTACTCAACAGTATATATATTAATTCATTTTAATCCTCTCAATATCCCTCTGAAATAGGTACAAATGAGGAAACAGAGGCATAGAAAATCTATGTGACTAAACTAAGGTCACATGGGCAGTGGTGGAGCTGGGCTTCAAGCTAGGGCATCTGACTCCCAGGCTTATTCTCTAAACATATGCTATACAACAAGGAAGAATGAACAAATGAGTGCCTAAGGGCAGAGAGTGTCCCTGAGCTATAAAAACATGTTGTTGACTGTTTTTTGTGCCTGCTTGTGAATAAATGATTACACATGAGCAAGCAAAAGAAAAAAGAAAGATAAACAAAATGAATTGGGTCTCCTGGGCATGCTGTCTTTTGATTCAAAACATGGGCCTTCTCTGGTCAGCTCAGGCAGTCCTGTACTTGCATATATAAGATGCTCTTAAAGTACATGTACAAAACCCCAAAACAACCTCATATTATGGGGGGTTTGTAAAGTATATAAAATCCCTGATTGGGCTGGGTCTGGTGGCTCACACCTGAATCCCAGCACTTTGGGAGGCTGAGGCGGGAGGACTGCTTGAGCCCAGGAGTTTGAAACCAGTCTAGGCACCATAGCAAAACCTTGTCTCTACAAAAAATAAAAAAAATTAGCCAGGCATGGTAGTGTGCACCCCTCAGCTACTCAGGAGGCTGAGGTGGAAGGATCACTTGAGCCTAGGAGGTCAAGCTGCAGTGAGTTGTGATCTTGCCACTGCGCTCCAGCCTGGGCGGCAGGGTGGGACCAAGACTCAAAAAAAAAAAAAAAAAAAAATTCAGCCATGTGTGGTGGCTCACACCTGTAATCCCGGAACTTTAGGAGACTGGGCAGGTAGGATGCTTGGGCCCAGGAGTTCTAGACCAGCCTGGGCAACATAGCAAGACCTTGTCTATATTTAGATAGATGGATAGATCGATAGATTGATCTTCCTAATTGGAGGTTATACCTAGACATTATCTTTAATGTATTCCTAGTATTTCATACACATTTTTTTCCCTTCACAGTTGAAACAGAGTTAACCAACTTAAATTCATTAAGCATCTGATAAGGCTAGTGACCTAATACAATTTCCAGTTTTGTCTTGGTAGTATTAATTTCATGAGACCTGTGTTTCTTTTCATAGTATTACTACTTTCAGTGTTCTATTTTCTGCTCAATTTTTTCCAAAATAAGAAAGTATGCAATAACATACTTAAATAGTCACACAGACACCATTTTAAGGCACTGCTGCTGAAACTTATCTTGGGATTGCTGATGTACAAACGTCTAGATTTAGCATATTAGAGGCAGCTTAGTGGTATCAGTATAAAATGTACAAAAGTACACTTTATATGAAAGCCAAATGTTCTTTGCTAAGTATTTATTACTCTGTATTGCAAATTATAGCATTTCCCCCCCCTTGTTCTGTTGCCTATCCTGGAGTGCAATGGTGTCATCATAGCTCACTGCAGCCTTGAAGTCTTGGGCTCAGACAGTCTTCCTGCCTCAGCCTCCTTAGTAGCTGGCACTGCAGGTACACATCATCACACTCAGCTAATTTTTTAAAAAAGGTTCTCACTGTGTTGCTCTGGCTTGTCTCAGATTTCTGGCTTCAAGTGATCCTCTTGCCTTAGCCTCCCAAAATGTTGGAATTACAGGTGTGAGCCGCCATACCCAGCCTAGCCTGTTGTTTCTTAATACACTGTTAAATATAATGATGTAAAAGCAATTTCAAGAGAGGAGAAGGGAAGAGATGTGACTAGAGAGTTTCAGATTCTCAATTTTAATAAAAAGTATTTTTTCTAACCAGGCATGGTGGCTCATACCTGTAATCCCAGCACTTTGGGAGGCTGAGACAAGAGGATTGCCTGAGCCCATGGGTTTGATACCAGCCTGGGCAACATGGCGAGACCTCATCTCTACAATAAATCAAAAAAATTAGTTGGGTGTGGTAGCGCACGCCCATAGTTCCAGCTACTTGGAAAGCTGAGGTGGTTGGATCGCCTGAGCCCAGCAGGTCAAGGCCGCCTTGGTCATGAGCATGTCACTGCACTCCAGCCTGGATGACAGAGTGAGACTCTAACTAAAAAGTAATAATAATGAATAAAAAGTATTTTTTCCTATAAAATTCAATAATAAAGGGTAGTGGGTATAGCTGTAAATATGAGTAACTACAAAACAAACATCATTGATTAAATGTTGTCTTTTTCCTTGCATAGCAGTTTATTGCACCTCCTTAAATTTTTTATTACTATTGTTATGATACAGTACAAAGCTATTTAGACAAAACAGCTTATTTCATATATGCAAAAGACAATAGGTCTTTCCCCATATCGTAGCTAATTTGTAACTTATATAGTTTTAATCAGTTTTGGACTAAGTACAGCAAAGCGTATCCCATAAACACTTGTTTCCATTATAAAATAACTCATGGTCTAGGAGAAATGTACATTTATTAGAGGATCTAGCTCTTTGAGGGTAGGAATTGTCCTGCTCATCTCTGTATCACTGGGTCCTAACTTAATCCGTGGCTCTTAATTGGTCTTCGTTGGTTTTGCTGAAAGAAAGCATTGAGGAATCAGGACTCTAGGCTCTTTTGGGAATCTTACCCTTTAGCTAACATGGCCAAGAAAACTTACTGCAGGTATATTTGGTTTCCATCAGGCAAACAGTGGTCCTAGTACAAATGGCTGTCAGTTCTTTATCACCTGTTCTAAGTGTGATTGGCTGGACGGGAAGCATGTAGTGTTTGGTAAGTCCTCTCCTGCCCCATCATCCAGGCCCCATTTACCCAGGGTGGGGCTTTCAGGGGAGCAAGTTCTCTTATTCTCACCAAGAGTGCTCAAATGGTATAACTGCTCTAGATGTTAGTAGGAAAGTGGAAATAGTGGGGAAGTGGGAAGATGCATGTTAAAGAACTAGAGGAAAAGACAAAGGGGCCATCTGATGTAGTATGGAACCACTTGGGTAATACGTGTTCTGAGGAGGGAAAATCAGATGTAAACACTAAATAAATGCCACAGAGGTAGCATGGTCCCATGGGGCTTTTGAATTGCTCAGACCTAGGTTTGTGCCCTAACTCTGCTACTTAATTGCCTATGACCTCAGGCAAGTCATTTCACTTCCACTGAATCTCAATTTCCTCAAGTCAGTAAGAGAATCTAATGAGATAAGAGCTAAGAATGAATATTGGAATCTGGAAAATGTTATGCAAACAAGAATAAAGTCCAGCTCATTCTCTTTCTACAGGAAAAATCATTGATGGACTTCTAGTGATGAGAAAGATTGAGGTAAGTCCTTCTTTGATTTCCTCTTTCCCAACCATTCTGGTCTGGTGCTATCTGACTAGCATCAAGAAACTAGAGAAGGGCAAATGGGATCTAGCTTGAAAGATCCAGTCTTAATTGCCTTCTTGGACTCCCTCAGGAAAAGGGAGGAGAGAGCACATGCCTCTCGAGTTTTCTTGGCCTCATGAGGTAGCCCGTCCAGTTCACATGGAGGTTTGGCCTCTGATGACCCTGTCACCTACTTGATAAAATTATACTCCTCGCATTGCATTCAAGACCCATCATGACCTGGTCCCTGCCTACTTCCCCATGGCCCCTTCTGCCACTGTCTCCTCCATGTTCTGATCCCATCAGGCTACCAGCACTTATCTAAGTATTCCATACATGTCCCTACCTCTTGCCCTTGAGCCTTTGCTCATGCTATTTCCTCTACCTGGAATGTTCTTCTTTCTTTTGCTCCTGGGGGGATTCCATTCATCCTTGTAGGCCCAGCTCTAAGTCCCCTTTTCTGTGAATCCTTCCCTGAACTCTTTAAGCAGCAATTTTGTTGCCTTGTCTACCCCTTATCCACCTTCCTCTTATAAGTTATTACATTGTTATGTGTCATAGATTTCATCTTTTGTCGGTGATTTGCATTTTCTCTTTGCTCTGTATTGTATGCTTTACCTGTCTACTAGAACATGAACTGTCGTATCAGTCTGAGTCCTGGGTCCTTAGCCAGGGGCTGGCAGGCATCAGTAAAGGTTTGAACAAGTGCTTGAGTGGATGACTCTCCACCTGCTTTCTTTTTTAGAATGTTCCCACAGGCCCCAACAATAAGCCTAAGCTGCCTGTGGTGATCTCACAGTGTGGAGAGATGTAGTCCAGACTAAGACTGAATCACGTAAGTGTGTCTTTCTCCTATCTGGTTGGGAGTCAGACCCCAGAGCAGGCAGTATGGCGTTGTGGAAAGAGCTTTAGTCTTGAAGACATGGGATTGAGTCCGTTTCCTCGTCTGTCAAATGGAGATATTGTAATGCCTATCTATTAGAGTCATTAAAAGGATCAAAAGAGAAAAGATCATGAGAGCGCTTTACTTGTCTACCATATGTAGTATACAAAGTCTCAACCTGAAAACCAGCTCAGGCAGTTTCTAACAGTACTCTCAGACTACGCTTTCATTCAGTAGTCCCACTAGAAAGACCTGGCTCCAGGCCAGGGTGACTCTGTGCTGGGATTAAGCTGGACAGCCAGGAGACACACCCATCCTGCCTCTTAGAATCGATGTTGCAACTCCAGGCTTCACACTAGAATTTGCCTTGTATTCGCCAGCCTTATGGGTGACCGCCTCACATCTTTCAGCCTTTGTGAACTTACTTTAGTAGCTAGGTGAGGGGTGGCAGTGTTTTGTTTTGCATCCTTTTAAAAAAATTTTCAAACCATAGCCAGGCGTAGTAGCACGCAACTATGGTTCCAACTACTTGGAAGGCTGAGGCGGAAGGATCGCCGGAGCCCAGCAGGTCGACACTGGAATGGCTGTGAGTGTGCCACTGCACTCCCGCCTGGGCAATGGAGTGAGACTGCACCTCAAAAAAACAAAAACAAAATAAAACAAAAAAATGTTTCAAACCAGCAGAAAAGTTGGAAGGATACTACATTGAACACCCATATACTTTTCACCTGGATTCATCAGTGATTGACCTTCTTGTTTTATCGTTTTGCCTTGACATTTGTTTTTTTTCTTTCTCTTCATCCCTCTCCTCCCATTCCCTCTCCTCTCTCCTGTTCCTCTTCCTTCTCTCTCTTCCATACTACCCTCCTTCCTTCCTTTCCTGTCTTTTTTCCTCCCTCCTTCCTTTTTTTCCTTTCTTCCTTTCCTATTTGAAAGTTGCAGGCTTCTTGACACTTCACCCCTAAATACTTCAGCAAGGAACCCCTAAAAACAAGAACATATCACATAACCACAAATAATATTATCTCATTTATAGTACATTGTCAAACTGGCTCAATTGTCCCAAAAGTAACTTTTATACACTTTAAAAAATCCAATCAAGATTTCCTTATTTCTTTTTTCTATACTTTTAAAAATATTTTCTTTCCTTTTTTTTTTTTAGAGATAGGGTATCCTTCTGTTGTTCAGGGTAGAGGGCAGTGGCGCCGTTACAGCTCACTGTAGCCTTGAACTCCTGGGCTCAAGTGATCCTCCCGCCTCAGTCTCCTGAGTAGCTGGGACTACAGGCATGTGCCACCACACCTAGCTCCCATATTTCATTTGGTCACTTATTTATTTTTATATACACAAATAAAATAATACATCCTCATTGTTGAGAACTTTCACACTATGCAGAGAAAGTAAAAGTCCCTGTTGATAACATCCTACCCTTAGTTCCGTTCTCCTTCCCAGATGTCATTTCCTCTTCGGTTTGATGTTTGGAAATCAGGATTTTTTTCTTTGCCTATCTAATTTTGGGAGGTTTTGTTTTTCCTACATGAAATAATAATTTTAGGAGGCTTTGTTTTTTCTAAATGAGATCATACTATATATTGTTCTCTTTTCCCACTTGGCATTATGTCTTGAAAATTTTTCCTTCTTAGTTCATGTGAAACTACACTGTATTAAAAATTAAAACATTTAGCTGGGCACTAAAGCAAAAAAAAGATAAAACAAGCAAAAACTGGTTGAGAATCCGTAATCTAAAAATCCCAAATTCCAGGTACCTCAAAATCTAAAACTTTTTTGAGCACTGACATGACACCACAAGTGGAAAATTTCACACCTGACCTCATGTGATGGGTCACAGTCCAAACTTCATTTCATACTTAAAATCATTTAAAATATTCTAGGTCTAGTGTGGTGGCTCATGCCTATAATCTCCAGCACTTTGTGAGACCAAAGCTGGAGGATTTCTTGAGTCCAGGAGTTTGAGACAAGTCGAGGCAACATAGTCAGACCTTGTCTGTATGAAATATAAGAAAAAAATTAGCTGGGTATGGTGGCAAGCGCCTGTGGTCCCAGCTACTCGGAGGCTAAGACAGGAGGATTATCTGAGCCCAGGAGGTCGAGGCTGTGGTGAGCCATGATTGTGTCACTGCACTCCAGTCTAGGTGACAGAGTGAGATCACAACTCAAAAACAATCTATAAAATTACCTTTGAGTTTTGTATATAAGATGTGTATGGAACACAAATGAATTTTTTTTTTTTGAGTTGGAGTCTCACTGTCACCCAGATTGGAGTGCAGTGGCTGCTCCCAGCCACCGCAGCCTCAACCTGCTGGGCTCCGGCAATGTTTCCGCCTCAGCCTTCCAAGTAGCTGGAACTACAGGCGCACGCTACCATGCCCGGCTCGTTTTTTGATTTATTGTAGAGATGAGTTCTCGCCAAGTTGCCCAGGCGGGTCTCGAACCCACGGGCTCAGGCAGTCCACTCACCTCAGCCTCCCAAAGGTGCGGAATTACAGGCTGAGCCGCCGAACCCGGCTACAAATGAATTTTGTGTTTAGACTTAGATTTCCTAGGATATCTTATATAACATAAATGCAACTACTTCAAAATCTGAGAAAATCCAAAATTAGAAATGCTTCTGGTCCCAAGCATTTCAGTTAAGGAATATTCAACCTGTGTAATATTCTGAGAATTGTTCATATCATTTACCTTTTCCTTAATGATTCAAGTAGTTGTACATTATGAGTATTAGTTCTCTATTTTTTTTATTTTTATTTATTTTTTGTTTTTTGAGTTGGAGTCTCACTCTGTCACCCAGACTGGAGTGCAGTGGCCGCTCCCGGCCACCGCAGCCTCGAACTGCTGGGCTCTGGTGATCCTTCCGCCTCACCCTTCTAAGTAGCCAGAATTACAGGCATACGCTACCACGCCCAGCTGATTTTTTGATTTATTGTAGAGATGAGGTCTCACTGCCCAGGCGGGTCACGAATCCGCGGGCTCAGGCAATGCACTCACCTCAGCCTCCCAAAGGCACGGGATTACAGGCTGAGCCACTGAGCCTGGCAGTTCTTTATTTTATATGTTGTGACCTTTCTTCAGAATATGTTTTAAAATTGGCATTGTGTTGCTTACCTTAAACTTGGTGATATTCTTGTTAAACAGAAGTCCTAAATTTTGATGAAGTCAGAATTATCAGTCTTATCCTTTATGACTTTTCTGTTTTTTTGTTTTGTTTAAGAAGGTCTTTACTACCTCAGATCATAATGTTTTGTATTTTTTCTAATATTCCTACAGTTTTATAAAATTACCTAGAATTTATTTTTCTGTGTGGTGTTAAGATCAGACCCTTGTTTTTTTTTTTCAACTAGACAGCCAGTCAAATAATGATTATATATACCTTTATCTATGACTTACTTTGTGTTCAGAGTATCTGGCACTTGTCGGCATTCAGTAAAAATGTATTACATGAGTTAATAGGGAGAATGTCAGGCATTTTAGGCAGGGAGCTGGTATGAGCAGATGCTGAGGCAGGAATGCACACATGTGTGCTGGGAGCGGCATACTGACCTCTTGTCTAGCCAGGTGGTCCCTTCTCAGGCCCACTTGACACCTCGAGGTTTCCTTTCTGCCAGTACTGAGGGCCCCTTGGGCTCACCCTGTTCTCCCCCTTCAGTAGCTGCAGGTCATTCTCTCCTTCTCCGACTCATTTCTTTACTGGAACTAAAGTTGACTCACAGGTCCTTTCCTTCCAAAGATTGCCCACTCTCATCCAAAAGAATAAAGTTTAGAGATCCTTTATGTTTGGTGCCTCTTTTCTGTATTTGTCTGAGTTCTTTACAGAAAATTACTAGAAGTCTTCGTTGGGGGTTTTATTTCTGAGAATGGAAATCATCAATCCTCCCCTCCTCCCCTACTATTAGCAAAAGTTATGTGAACTTTTGCCCCCAAGAAAGTCCCTCTTCTTAGCCTGCAACTCAAGCAGAACAAATTCCCAGGAGGCCATTGTACATTCCAGAGGCCCTCTAGACCAGGACTGTCCAAAAGTTCTATGATGATGAAAACGTGCTCTATCAGTGCTGCCCAGTATGGTAGTTACTAGACACATGTTACACCTGAGCACTTTATTTTTTTAAAGTTTTAAATTTTTTATTTTTTTTGAGTTGGAGTCTCACTCGGTCGCTCAGACTGGAGTGCAGTGGCTGCTCCCGGCCACCGCAGCCTCGCCTGCTGGGCTCCTGCGATCCTTCTGCCTCAGCCTTCCGAGTAGCCGGAATTACAGGCACGCGCTACCACGCCCGGCTGATTTTTTGATTTATTGTATAGATGAGGTCTTGTTGCCCAGGCGGGTCTCGAACCTGCAGGCTCAGGCAATCCACACACCTCAGCCTCCCAAAGGCGCGGGATTACAGGCTGAGCCACCGAGCCTGGCTTCAGCACTTTAAGTGTAGCTGGTATGACTGAGGGACTGAACTGTTCCTTTTCTTTCTTTCTTTCTTTCTTTTTTTTTTTTTTGAGTTGGAGTCTCACTCTGTCGCCCAGACTGGAGTGCAGTGGCCGCTCCCGGCCACCACAGCCTCGACCTGCTGGGCTCCGACGATCCTTCTGTCTCAGCCTTCCAAGTAGCTGGAACTACAGGTGACGCTACCATGCCTGGCTAATTTTTGATTTGTTGTCGAGATGAGGTCTCGTCAAGTTGCCCAGGCGGGTCTTGAACCCGCGGGCTCAGGCAGTCCACTTACCTCGACCTCCCAAAGTGCTGGGATTACAGGCTGAGCCACCGAGCCCAGCCTGTTCCTTTTATGTCAATAAATGTAAATCACCACATGTGGCTAGTTGGTACTGCATTGAACAGTGAGCTCTAAACTTAGGCATCTCCAGTTCAGCCTCCTCACTCTGACTTGCTCAGAATTGAATCTCAGAGCTAATACTTACAGACATATTTACTGAATACTTCTTGTGCCCAAATACTGATCTAGGAACTTAAATTATCTCATTTTACTTTACCAAAGACCTCAATCATAGGTTTTAAGGTGTTAGGGAATCTGGGTAGCAGTGCGACATAAAGGAGTTCTGCAGACAAGGGCCTCACTTTGAGTTTCTGAATAATGCGATTTGAGAGAAATGAAGAAGAGGAGATTGATTCCCCAGGAGCGGGGTCTGGTGGGAAGACAGGTGGTATCATTCTTTCATTTTTCTTTCCAACACTAAAGTTACAAGTATCTCTAATCTTACAGGAGTGTTTTGTATACCTCAGGGTTTTGAAGGGGGCAAAATTATGTTTGGCGGCTATCATAGATGATGTTTTCAGCCATATTGGGGAGTATTTTTCATTCAATAATGTGCATGTGGATCTCCAGATCTTGTTAAAATGCTGGTTCTGATTTAAGGGTCTAGATGGGGGCTGAGATTTTGCATTTCTAATCAGCTCCCAGGTGACCTGAAACTGACTTTGAGAGGGAAGCCTTTTAGGAATCTTTTAATTGAGAACCTGCCATGTTCCCAGCAGAGAAAAGGAGCAAATAATTCTCTTGATGGTGCTGGTCCAGCAGGAATTCATTGCATTCAAATCAAGGAATCACCTAATCCTGCATTTGAGGCCTTGTTCCCAGGCACTGGGAATGTGAGATGAAGAAGCTAGGAAGGTGACAGAAGACAGGTGAGGTCACATTATTGGCTGTACCTCCCTGTGGAGCACTTCCTTCCAGAACCCTTGAATTTTGCCTTCCTAGGTTGACTTTGGTTTTGGTGAAAGTTAAGCTTTCTGTACAGGTGTAGATATAGAAACCTTGGTCTTATGTCAGTGGGTCCTGGGGATGCTTTTTATGATGAATTTGGTTAGGTATAGCATAAATAAACCTCTACCCTCAGGATTCTCCTGCTGTAATTTGAGTGAGTTCTCTACTACTTGCATATACATGAGGAATGATGAAACCTCTAGTTTGAAAGCCTGAGAGTCTCTTGGAAAAGGAACTAGCTATGAGCTTTGGCAGCCCTGCTAGTCTAATATTCTGCCCCTATCCTTGCAATCTCCAAACCTGGTGCCAGTACCACGTGGTAGAGAGCTTTCCTTAATTTATTGTTGCCCAAATTCCCCTACAAAGAATAATCACTTGGGGGCGCAGGTTAAATCTACTAATTCCAGATGCCCATCGTGGAGTGTTTGATAGAGTGGGTTTGGGGTAGAACCCAAGATGCTGTGTTTTTAACAGGCATCTCAGGTACTTTTTTTCCCCCCTGAATTTAGGTCTCACCTTGTTTCAAGGCTGGAGTGCAGTGGCATTATCACAGCTTGGTGCATGCCACCATGCCCAGCCCAGCTAATTTTTTAATTTTTTGTAGAGACAAGAATTCACTATGTTGCCGAGGCTGGTCTCGAACTCCTGAGCTTAAGCAATCCTTCCTGCTTCAGACTCTCAAAGTTCTGGGACTACATATGTGAGCCACTGTTCCTGGGCTTCCAGGTGCTTCTTAATAGAGAAGTGTGGGAAACAGTATTTTAGATAGTGCTGGGATGACTATCTTTTATTTTACTATTTGGATCTTAGGAAAAGTATATAACTAGCACAACACGTAATTTTATAGTTATAGCTTACAATGAGGCAGTATTGAAGATCAGATAGTGATTAGATTAAAATATAAATTGTGCCTGTGGATGACAGATATTGTAACAGTTGTGAAGGTGCTGTTTGAATGACTGAAGTTTAGGAAACACTATCTTTCATTCTGGAATTACCTGTAAATGTGATGCATTCCTATAGGGACCAGTTTGGCTGGTCCTCCATTTATTCTGCAGCTGAGCACTAATTAAGTAAAATAGGACCCATGCCACATATGAGGTTACAGATTTGAAAAGACCAGTTCCTTCCTTCAAGGAATTCAGTCTCTTAGGAAAGCCGACAATTACAGTACAATAAAGCACTGGATTGGAGGTCTTAGAAGGTGAGGATAGCATGAGTTCCTGGGTCTTTCTGGAGTGGCTTGGGAAGACTGCAGAAAGAGGATGCTTCAGCTTAGTACAAGAAAGAATAGAACTTATCAGGTGGCTAAATCTGGGGAGGGCATTCCAGGCAGAAGTAACAGCATGTGCAAAACGACAAAAGCAGGAAACAGCAGGAAGTGTAGGGGAAGCTGCAAATAATTCAAGATGGCCAAGGCAGGAAGATATGAAATGTAAACGGTAAGAGATGGGGCTGGAGGGAGGCCAGGGCCAGTTGTAACAGCCAGTGCCAGGCTAAGCAGTTCATATATTATCCTGAGGGCAGGGAATAGGCTTCAAGCAATAAGTCATTCCCTACCCTGGAGACAGAGCCCATTGTGCTCCTGAGATTTTCAAAGTAGGCCCTGACCCTCCAAAAAGAATCAGGTCAGCAGGAGCCACTGAAGGATTTTGAGCAGAATATTAGAGTTGAATTTTTCTATTCAGAAGATGATTTTGGCAGTGATATGGGAGATGGGCTGGAGACAGGTGAGGAGTTCACTGTGGTAGTCCAGGCAAGAGAAAAAGACGTTCTAGGTGAAAACATGGGTCTAGGATTATTGGGGATTTGGCAGCATGTATGTATTTGCATGCCTGCAGGGTGTGTGACACTGGTTTGTTCCCTGCCTTAAAATGCAGGAGCTTTGCCAGCTCAAGAGGCCAGGGAAGGGAGAATGTCTAGCTCCATTCCAGTCCAATCTAGTACAAAGGCAAAGCTACCTGCAATGCAGCCAAGTCTCACACACACAGAGGTACATCTCTTCAATGGAATACTATACAGCCTTAACAAAAAGAAAGTGGCAGGTCTGTATGTGTTGGCAAGGTAAGGTAAATTAAGTGACAGTCAAGACGTAGTACACTAGCTGGGCTCGGTGGCTCAGCCTATAATCCCGCGCCTTTGGGAGGCTGAGGTGAGTGGATTGCCTGAGACGGCGGGTTTGAGACCCGCCTGGGCAGTGAGACCTTATCTCTACAATAAATCAAAAAATCAGCCAGGCGTGGTAGTGCATGCCTGTAATTTCAGCTACTTGAAAGGCTGAGGCGGAAGGATCGCCGGAGCCCAGCAGGTTGAGGCTGCGGTGGCCGGGAGTGGCCACTGCACTCCAGTCTGGGTAACAGAGTGAGACTCCAACTAAAAAAAAAAAAAAAAAGATGTAGTACACTGTGTAAGGGTACTGTATATTTTGAATAGTTTTCAGAACTCTGTTGTAATATATAGCAGGTTGTTAATAATAGAGATAGTGAAGAGACTTAGTTTTCAGTTTGTTAATGCTTGAATTTGCTCTTATTTATGCATGAATTTTCTACATTGAGCATGCATCTTATAATAGAAATACATACTGTTTATATGTAGTTTTAACTAATCTGATTCCTCTCAGCACCTCTCAGGAACATGCCCATAGCTGTGGCTGGCATCAGTTTGTGAATCCTTCCCTGGTCCCTCCATCTCCTCCTTCCAGATCTGGGCCAAGTCAGTGGTTCCTACCTGGGTGTTTCTGTAGCACTTGGTTCATCTTTTCATTATATAGCATTTAACACAATGCAGCATCACAAGTGTGTTGGTTTGTTTGTCCCTGGAGTAGGGACCATGTTGATGGACACAGTTCCTGGTCTAATAGGGCTTAGGTCCTGGCACACCATGTGATTTACAAAGTACATTTATACATTTTGCTTGAGGGCCCAGGGTTAAACTTTTGTATGGGTCTGCAGTACAGCACCAGGATCCAATGTCCACTGGAGGACGGTGTGGCCATGTTTGGGGGATGGAAGGAAATGAGGGACAGTAGCATTTGAGTATACTCACCCTGTTCTTTTAGTTCAGCTGACTTGGCTTCAAGACCATCAGTTGAGTGTGTGAACTTTCCTTTATCTTTACCCTGGGACCAAAACCTGCAAGGATTGATTGCTCTTTGTTCTAGAACTCTACAGAGTGTCATCAAAGTCTGCCAAAAAGGACACAGGCATTGGAGCCAAGTAGACTACAAAGCCTCCACACTGTCTAGTTCTGTGACCTTAGTCAAGCCATTTAAGCCCTAGTTTGTGCCTTTGCATAATTAGATCATCTGTACTATACAGAATTGTGAAAGTTTTAATAAATGAAACAGTATACCTGACCATAAATATTAATTTTTTTCTTCTTGTGTAATATACTTCAATTTTTTTGCTCTGGGGAAGCAAAAATATGACCTCTAGTGAGAATCAGACCTGTTCCGACCCTTTTGGGAAAGAGGTTTAGGAGTATAGGGGATGGTCAGGAGCATTGTTGCTCATGGGATGTCCCCTTCCCGTTCCTTTGAGCTGCTCATCTCCCCATCCTTCACTGACCTCCATGTTTCTGCCATTTTAGGCCTTCCCTGGTTCTGAGCGATGTTCTTGAGTAAGGCAATTTGGACTGTCCCCAGTGTTTGCTTCCCTGCCTGCTGCTGCCCCATTTAATCAAGAGACCCTGGAAGTATCAGAGATTCAGACCTCAACACTGTCTGTGTTTAAGTTTTCAACTGTAAATAAAGTTTTTTGTGTGCTGTTTTTAAATGGTTGTAGTAACCCTGTCTCCTCACACCTCAGAGGAGACCAGCATGGACCAGAGACGAGCATGGTCCAGAACCAAGCCCTTGCTGTGTGAGGCTAATGCCTCTGACTTACAAGCAGTTTTAGCAGGCCCCTCTTAGTTTCAAGCTGATGGGCAAAGAAAGCATAGCCCTGGGGAGCTAAATTATTTGTTCCAAGGATGTTCCCAGTGGGTTCTGGATAGAGCCTGAGGGAAAAGGTACACTAACCTGAGATGTTTGGGGATGGTAGACCAATTGGTAGAATGTGTCATGATCAGATGGAGTGGGAGTCATTTTGTCAAAAACCTTGGTTTGAATCTAGGGCCATTTTATAGATAGTTCAGGTCGTGAGAGGATCAATTCCCCCTTTAGAGCCCTAGTTTCCTTATTTGTAAAATGGAGATAGTAATACCTGTCTGTTTACTGCAGAGCATTGTTGAAAGTGTCAAACAGCTGCCAGGTATGGTGGCTCACGCCTGTAATGCCAGCACTTAGGGAGGCCGAGGTGAGAGGATTGCCCAAGTCCAGGGGCTCAAGACCAGCCTGGGCAACTTGGCAAGACCTTGTCTCTACAATAAATCAAAAACTTAGCTAGGTGTGGTGGCGCACGCCTGTAGTTCCAGCTACTTGGAAGACTGAGGCAGAAGGATCACCTGATCATAGCAGGTCGAGTCTGCAGTAGCCGTGAGCATGCCACTGCATGTCAGCCTAGGTGACAGAGTGAGACTCCAACTCAAAAAAAAAAAGAAAAAGCGTCAAATAAGAGAATGGATATGAATGTAACTTGTAAACAGTGACATGCATGTTAGTTTAGAAAGGAAACACCTCAACATATGAAGATCCCACTGAGCTGGGTGTTGTGGCTAACCCCTGTAGTTCCAGCTACTCAGGAGGCTGAGGTGGGAGGATCGCTTGAGCCCAGGAGTTCAAGGCTGCAGTGAGCTATGACTGCTGTTGCACTCTGGCCTGGGTGACAAAAAACCCATCTCTTTAAAAAAAAAAAAAAGCCAG